GAAGGGAGTCTGCTAAGTTGACATGAGTCCCTATCAATTCAGTGAATGGTATTTAAATAACCACACACAGAGAAAGTGGTCCTCACAGGAGTCCCAACGGTGAGATTATAGCCACTGTGCGATCAGGGAGAAGCTAGGTTTAGGTTCAATAAACTGGAACAAATGCATTTTCCTCTCCAATTAGGCTAAACCACTATCCAGAGTCACACTACGGAGATACTGGCATCTTTCATCTTTATGGACATATTTTTAGCTAAGTCAGCAGCTAAACCCAACGTGGTCTCAGAGCATTTCGTATTATTATGTATGTAAATACAAGACACTCCATTTAGTATGATATGTTACGTTTTGTATGGTATGTATTAATTTGTGGATGCCCATCACCCATTTCGTATGATATGTTACTAATTACAATTTGTATTATATGTTTTCTAATTTGCTAAACGTACAATATGTAACGATTTTTTCAAGTTGCTAATTAGCTAAAGTTGTCCTTGATGAGATTTGTACTCACAACCTTTGGGTTGCTAGATGTTTTTGTTTAGTTTCTGCCTTAAGTAACCATCTGTCTTATGTAACCATACCAAACGTAACATATACTATTTTGAGTTCCCTGGATTTATTTTACTATGTTACGTCTGCTCTATGAGACCAGACTGCTAAAGCAAGTGATGTGGAGATGAAACCAGCGAGCCTCAATGGAAAGGCTAGTACTGTCGGTAGGTACTTATTATGCAACCTCGTAAAAGCACCTTGCATCCACGCGCCTAATTGAAAACAATCTAAGCTTGTCAATATTGACCAACTTCTCCTAATGATTAGTTTTAAATATTCTCTATGGCTCACTATAGGTTTATTACATGAGGAAAGAGATATCATGAATAATGGAATGGACTCATGGAATCTGCATAGTATGCCTTATATTTGTATTATTATACTGTGAGATTATGTTTTTGATAGTTTCACTTTCACAGTAGCATATTGTCTGGGTGGTGTTCTGATCCTACAGTATATTGTAGCATATTGTTTGGGTGGTGTTCTGCTCCTAGAGTATATTGTAGCATATTGTCTGGGTGGTGTTCTGATCCTACAGTATATTGTAGCATATTGTTTGGGTGGTGTTCTGATCCTGCAGTATATTGTAGCATATTGTCTGGGTGGTGTTCTGATCCTACAGTATATTGTAGCATATTGTCTGGGTGGTGTTCTGATCCTTCAGTATATTGTAGGTCTGGGTGGTGTTCTGATCCTACAGTATATTGTGTGTCTGGGTGGTGTTCTGATCCTACAGTATATTGTGTGTCTGGGTGGTGTTCTGATCCTGCAGTATATTGTGTGTCTGGGTGGTGTTCTGATCCTACAGTATATTGTAACATATTGTCTGGGTCGTGTTCTGATCCAGCAGTATATTGTGGCCTTTGAGGCAAGCATGGATTTCAATGTACTTTTATAGTGGAATTGAGCTTTATAGTGGCATTGCTTTTCATTATACCTATGATAAAAATGTCAATAAAAGTAGTGTCGTCTGTCAGAATATTATTTTCCTATTACTTTGATGAATAGTATTGTATGCCCATTCTCCTGTTTATGATGCTTTACCTGGTCTACACTGTACAAGTATTGTAATACTCCTGTGTACTGGAACATTACATGTGGGGAAAAAAACGTGAAATGTTCTGTTTAGTTTTAGTCAGAAATCAGTATTCATTGGTAGGTTTGGCAATATGCTAAACTATTGGTTTGAGGGTATCAACTGTATTAATCCTACAATTATGAATCAGAAGAATATGTTTGCTTTGGCTGCCTCCTGTTGAGTTATAGCAGCTGCATCCGAAAGATAAACACATAACAATCAAATGAATTAACAACTTACAGCAACAATAAGATACCCATTGTTATTGGTATTTAAGGATATTTTTTATAAATAATGTGGGAAAAATGACATTTTGGGATTAGTGAATAGTGTAACAATAGTGTAATAGCCTTTTTAATGAGATTAAACCAACACGCAGAACAACAACACTCATGTCCCTCAGAGAGCACAGCCTGCTCACTACCTTTCAACTAAACTGCATCCAAGCAGCTAAATGAACAGCACAAAAGTTCCCTTCAAATTATGCCGCTCAATATGGTCTGGCCTGTAGTGCAGATAAGAACCTGTGTGTTAGAAGTAGCAGTGGCAGACCCAGGCATCCCACACACTTCAGAGCTCAGGCCTTTCGGTTTGTATTTGATCTTCAAGTGTAGCGAGGAGAGCTTCAGTGAGAGAGAGGCCCCAGGGGACCTCCCAGGGGACATCCCAGGGGACATCCCAGGGGACATCCCAGGGGACATCCCAGTCACACCATGGCCTTCTGATATCAGGAAGAATAGGAGGGAGCGCTAGCAGTTTGAACATTTTTTATTTGTATTTTTTTAAATATTATTTTGCTTTTTTTGCTTTACGAAACAAATGTCTGCAGATGTCGTATGAATAAACAACAGAACCCTCTCTCCTCAGAGAAGGGATCCACCGACCAATCACTTCTCTGGAAAATAGATTCTCCTTGTCCAATCACGGCCTCTTCCGATTCACAAGGTGTTGCCCATTTTCTGTGTGTTATATTATTTTAAGTGCATTAATTGACAATGTAACCGTTGAATTAATGTGCAATGGCTGGAACTACAGTCAATTCAAAAATACATTTACATTGCTGCTATGACCCACAATAACTGTTTCTGTGTTGGGGTCATCACATGAGCTAGCGTCAGAATCTGAAATGAGCCAATCATGAGACAGGGAGTCTTTCAAACCACGGCCATCATAAACAGCTTATCACCTTCACCTACATCATCATCATCATCATCATCAGGATTAACAAGACTCTTTTGTCATACCTGTATTCCTCCAGTAAGACAAAAAGGTTAATAGATAAAATGGTTTAAAATAAAGTTTAGTGATTGTGCTTTTAAAACCAAAGTAAAACAAATAACAAACATTGACAACGACCCAAAAATATAACAGTGCATTACAAAAAGAAAAATAACAATCCCAAAGTGGCACTTTCTTGGGGCAGCTAAATAATATAGCAATTTACAACATGGATGGAAAACGATAAAATAATTATATTTACTGGCATAATACAATTATAATTTGCGAAATAAAACAAGGAAGACAAATTTGAAGTACCACGATGGACGCTATACAAAAGGACATTATGTGTACAGGTATATTTACAAGACAGTCCACCCCTCTGCTTGTAGCTCATTTCATTACAGTAACACATGGCTGTAAGGGCAAGGCTTCCCATAGTGCTTGCCGAAGCAAGCCAAGTCGATCATGTCAATACCTGGAGTCCACTGTTACTCCCTATTACCTCGGAATAAAACATACACTACATGACCAAAAGTATGTGGACACCTGTTCGTCGAACATCTAATTCCAAAATCATGGGCATTAATATGGATTTGGTCCCCCCTTTGATGCTATAACAGCCTCCACTCTTCTGGGAATGGCTTTCCACTAGATGTTGGAACATTGCTGCGGGGACTTGTTTCATTCAGCCACAAGAGCATTAGTGAGGTCGGTCACTGATGTTGGGCGATTAGGCCTGGCTCGCAGTCAGCGTTCCAATTCATCCCAAAGGTGTTTGATGAGGTTGAGGTCGGGGCTCTGTGCAGGCCAGTCAAGTTTTTCCATACCAATCTCAACAAACCATTTCTGTATGGACCTCGTTTTGTGCACGGGGGCATTGTCATGCTGCAAATAGGAAAGGGCCTTCCCTAAACTGTTGCCACAAAGTTGGAAGCACAGAATCATCTAGATTGTAACTGTATGCTGTAGCGTTAAGATTTCCCTTCACTGGAACTAAGGGTCCTAGCCCGAACAATGAAAAACAGCCCCAGACTATTATTCCTCCTCCACCAAACTTTACCGTTGGCAATATGCATTAGGCCAGGTAGTGTTCTCCTGGCATCCGATGCCAGATGGTGAAGCGTGATTCATCACTCGAGAGAACGCATTTCCGCTGCTCCAGAGTCCAATGGCGGAGAACATTACACCTCTCCAGCCAACGCTTGGCATTGCACATGGTGTTCTTAGGCTTGTGTGCAGCTGCTCGGCCATGAAAACCCATTTCATTAAGCTCCCGACTAACAGTTATTGCGCTTACGTTGCTTCCAGAGGCAGTTTGGAACTCAGTAGTGAGTGTTGCAACCGAGGACAGACAATTTTTACGCGCTATGCGCTTCAGCGGTCCCGTTCTGTGAGCTTGTGTGGCCTACCACTTCGTAGAGGAGCCATTGTTGCTCCTAGACGTTTCCACTTCACAATAACAGCACTTACAGTTGACCGGGGCAGCTCTAGCAGGGCAGAATTTTGACGAACTGACTTGTTGGAAAGGTGGCATCCTATGACGGTGCCACGTTGAAAGTCACTGAGCTCTTCAGTAAGGCCATTCTACTGTCAGTGTTTGTCTATGGAGAATGAACGGCTGTGTGCTCTATTTTATACACCTGTCAGCAACGGGTGTGGCTGAAATTGCCGAAGCAACTAATTTGAAGGGGTGTCCACATACTTTTGTGTATATAGTGTATATGCTACTGGGTATTTTGCTTTGGATTCACGTACCATTCTTTTATCCTCTGGCATTTTCTTCTTTAAAATGGACATAGAAAATGATAAATTAGAAAAACAATTGGTCTGTTTTCCAGATGTATAGAAACACAATTCATGTACAGTATTTGTCAGCAAACATGATGGTAAGATACTGAGATATTTCAAATGGGTAGGGGAACGATCACATCATTCCTCCTCTCGGAAACTTCATTCTGGAAAGTACTTCCTGTTCATCCCGTCTAGTACTTCAGCTCTCCACCATCTGGGGAACAGGACAACACAACAGACCTTCCAGCAAGCATACAAATATATACACAGCATTTAATCTAAGCCATTGCTCAGTAATACACCAATGCTAAATCTGCAGTAACTCTATGAGTTAGCAAGTCAGCAAGCACTCTACCTCTAAGTCATCGTCTCCAGGCCGGAAGGCCCCCATGGTGTTGAGACCCATGTCGTTGGGGTTCCTGCGGGCCCCTGGCCCCCCCTCTCCTCTCCGCCGGCCCCCTGAGCCCCGGGAGGACATGGAGCTGGAGGAGCTGGGGTCCCTGTCTCGGGGACTGTGGACCGTGGGGAAGGAGGGGCGGCTGTAGGGCAGGATGTCCTCTGGTCCTGGGACAAAACAGGAGAGAGGACACACTGAGAACTCATGTCCTTCAACACAGTACATACAGCTATTCACAATCTAAAGTTGCACTGTCAGAGTGGCATGTCTACAGAGCAGAAATAACAATATTCTGCTAGGTTAAATGCCACTAGTTCCATGTCCCTAGGTGTTCTCTGTACCTGGGTGTTGGTGTGCCTTGGTGCTGCTCCCCTCCGGTTTGTTCCCTTTCCCTGTGCGGGGGATCTTCTGTCTGTCCTGGGTCTCCCGGCGCTCTGAGGAGCTGGTACGGGGGTCTGATCCCTCCCGTGGCCGGTACCCTCCTACTGAGCCCCCTCTCCTGTCCCTGCCTTCACCTGCCTTGGGAGACATCATCCCCCGTGCATCCAGGGCTGTCTTGGAGGGGTGTGTGGGGGATTTGAGCCCTGCTGGAGGGGGGATGGGGGGAGGAGGCAGATCTGGAACATAAACAAGGAAGAGGATGACATTAGTTTACTAGTTCAAACTCATGCCTACCATTAGAGCCATTAGAGCTTAGCCATTAGACACAGATGAGAGAGAGATGGAGGAGAAAGAGAGGTGGAGGAGAGAGAGAAGGCGAGAGTTGGAGGAGAGAGAAAGAGAGAGGGAGGAGAGGCGATGAGAAATTAGTAGGAGGGAGAGGAGAGAGAGAGATAGCTGGAGTTGGAAGAAGAGAGAGAGAGAGATCCCGGATATTGTAGTCTGGAGAGCTCTCTCGTCATGATCCTCTGCTCGCTCTCTCTCTCTTGCACTCGCTCTTCTCCGCCGCTGCTCGCTGCTCTCTTTCTGCGCTCGCTCTCGCTCTCTCTCTCTCTCTCTCTTCGCCTGCGCTCTCTCTGCCTTTCCCGCTCGCTCCTATCGCCTTGCGTCCCTCTCTTGCGCTCACCTGCGCGCTACCGCGCTGCCGCTCGCCGCCTTTCTCTCTCTCGCTCGTCTCTCCCTCTTCGCTCGCCCGCGCTGCATCTCCTCTCGCTCTAGCTCTCTCTCTCTTCCTGTCCGAGAGAGAGGGTTTGCAGAGGGGAGCATGACGGTCAGCAGCTAGCTCTCTGACCCGCTCCATTTCTCCTGTTGAGGAATCAATGCTGTCTGTCCTTGAGCCATTATTCATATGAGCCTGACTGGTGTGCTGCCTAAGCGCTCACACTTCTAGACACACACACACACAAACAAAACACGCTGCCTTGTCTGCTCTGCTTGCGATCGATGGCTTTTCATCTTTTAATCAGACTCCCAGTTGAGGGATGGCTCAGCTCTGTCGGCCGGCACGGCCCGTAATCCACACAGGATTACAAAGTTAATAAACATAGCAACCAGCCATTGCCACCGCTCACACCCAGCATCCCAATGCCGCTCACATCCAGCATCCCAATACCGCTCACATCCAGCATCCCAGTGTCCACCATATTTAACACCATAGTTCCACTGTGTATACTCTTGAGCTGAATCACACACAGTAGGAACTTTTTACACACTCGGGGGCTAAAGGGGATGCTGGTGTGTTTTGGCTGTGACGCTTTGGCCAAATCAGGAAGGTGTAATACACTTTCCTGATTATCACCCCCCCCCCCCACACACACACACACACACAAACACACACAACCTCCTGAATACACAATGGGTCAGTCGATATCATACGGTGGAAAATCTTCTGCAGTTTTTTTTATATCTCCCCTGCCTCCTACCTCAGTCAGGTTCCGATCAATGCCACTGTCTGTGAGATATAGCCCACTACATGAGGAGGAGGAGAGGAGAGGACAGTCAGGCAGATTTATGGACACATGGAGGTGAGGACAGAGGCCAGGTTTCTATAGCAGGGCCCGTATCCACAAAGCATCTCAGAAAAGGTCCTAGGAATCCTGGTAAAATGTATTTTCAGACTTAAAAAACTCCCAGCTCAGAGTAGGTTTTTGGATAACGTAAAGACACTGCTCAGACAAACTCTGAGCCAGGAGTAAAATCAACTCATAAAAGTTTATCTCAGCTGGTAATCACCACAGTTTGAGGTATCGCGAAGGAAGGATAGTGATGACGCTCATTGACCAAGAAGTAAATGATGGGGAATAAGCAATCACGATGAGGCATTGCCAGCTGTGAACTCTATAGCACACGTGAGACAACTACGGTGAATGTGACTGTACATCAGATGTTGCAATGGTAAAATGTTTAATATAATTTTCGCCTGACACGCTCACTTTGCTTCATTCTTGATTAATATGTTGGCATGCATAACCTTTTTTAACCAATTCTGATATTTTGAATAATGTGATAGGGGATACTGCAATGAATCATATAGTATGATCGTTGCTAAAAGTGGAATTTTGATAATATTACCGTTATATCATCACACTCGTCACTCCCGATCAACTACTCTAAATGGCTTTGGCACGGTAGGCATCAAGCCACTTGCAGATAATGTTGCATAATGTTTGAAAGGTCTATCATCTTTACTGACACAATCAATGTTAAAGGGATTCTCTGCTACTTTTGTGTACTTTTTAGCCAGTGGTTTTGAATGTAGAGCTTACGAGCCAAAAGTGATCCCCGAAAATTGGGTACTACCTCACATATGTGCAGTTACAGTTGAAGTCGGAAGTTTACATACACTTAGGTTGGAGTCATTAAAACTTGTTTTTCAACCACTCCACAAATGTCTTGTTAACAAATGATAGTTTTGGCAAGTCGGTTAGGACATCTACTTTGTGCATGACCCAAGTAATTCTTCCAACAATTGCTTACAGACAGATTATTTCACTTATAATTCACTGTATCACAATTCCAGTGGGTCAGAAGTTTGCATACACTAAGTTGACTGTGCCTTTAAACAGCTTGGAAAATTCAGAAAATGAAGTCATGGCTTTAGAAGCTTCTGATAGGCTAATTGACATAATTTAATCAATTGGAGGTGTACATGTGGATGTATTTCAAGGCCTACCTTCAAACTCAGTGCCTCTTTGCTTGACAACATTGGAAAATCCAAAGAAATCAGCCCAGACCTCAGAAAAAAAAATTGTAGACCTCCACAAGTCTGGTTCATCCTTGGGTGAAATTTCCAAACGCCTGAAGGTACCACGTTCATCTGTACAAACAATAGTACGCAAGTATAAACACCATGGGACCCATACAGCAGTCATACCGCTCAGGAAGGAGACGCGTTCTGTCTCCTAGAGATGAACGTACTTTGGTGCGAAAAGTGCAAATCAATCCCAGAACAACAGCAAAGGACCTTGTGAAGATGCTGGAGGAAACAGGTACAAAAGTATCTATATCCACAGTACAACGAGTCCTATATCGACATAACCTGAAAGGCCGCTCAGCAAGGAAGCAGCCACTGATCCAAAACCGCCATAAAAAAGCCAGACTATGGTTTGCAACTGCACATGGGGACAAAGGTCGTACTTTTTGGAGAAATGTCCTCTGGTCTGATTAAACAAAAATAGAACTGTTTGGCCATAATGACCATCGTTATGTTTGGAGGAAAAAGGGGAATGCTTGCAAGCCGAAGAACACCATTCCAACCGTGAGGCACAGGGGTGGCAGCATCATGCTGTGAGGGTGCTTTGCTGCAGGAGGGACTGGTGCACTTCACAAAATGGATGGCATCATGAGGAAGGAAAATTATGTGGATATATTGAAGCAACATCTCAAGACATCAGTCAGGAAGTTAAAGCTTGGTTGCAAATGGGTCTTCCAAATGGGCAATGACCCCAAGCATACTTCCAAAGTTGTGGCAAAATGGCTTAAGGACAACAAAGTCAAGGTATTGGAGTGGCCAACACAAAGCCCTGACCTCAATCCTATAGAAAATTTGTGGGCAGAACTGAAAAAGCATGTGCGATCAAGGAGGCCTACAAACCTGACTCAGTTACACCAGCTCTGTCAGGAGGAATGGGCCAAAATTCAGAGTGAAAAAAAAAAAAGCTTGTGGAAGGCTAACCGAAACGTTTGACCCAAGTTAAACAATTTAAAGGCAATGCTGCCAAATACTAATTGAGTGCATATAAACTTCTGACCCACTGGGAATATGATGAAAAAATTAAAAGCTGAAATAAATCATTCTCTCTACTATTATTCTGACATTTCACATTCTTAAAATAAAGTGGTGATCCTAACTGACCTAAGAAAGGGAATTTTTACTAGGATTAAATGTCAGGAATTGTGAAATGTAAATGTATTTGGCTAAGGTGTATGTAAACTTCCGACTTCAATCGTATGTGCACCACGTCACCGCTCTCTCTCTCGGCTGTGTGTGCATGCTGTGCATCTTGCTAACTGTCACTCATATGGCGAGGGGCTGAAGCTCATTGGTTGAACTTGAATTGCCAGGGCCACATGGGGGAAAATGTAGGGATAATGGCGCAGCACAGCTTCCAGAAAAACAGTTGCTTCAAACTAGGAATTTCGTGGCTAATTGAGGTAATTCTGTAATTCTGCTCAGATTATGCATGCATGAACTAAACATTGACACATCCAGCCCAAAGTGGGAGGTTTAAAAAACGTAGTAGTCGCCAAAGTTCTGGCACGTCTTTAACATAGGCCATAGATGCTTTCAATTGCCCAATCCATTCAGATCAAATACAATCAGCGACCAGACCAGACTGATAGACAGACAGCCAGGGCTGGAGAACTGTCTGTCTCCTCCTCACTCCTCTCAGACACACACAGGGAACAAAGAGGGGGAGTGAGGGAGGAGGGAGGGAGGGAGGGAGGATATATGGAGGGAGCTGGAGGAGAGCAGAGTGAGGGGTGGAGAGATTACTTCAAAGGGAGGGGATGGGGTGGAAGAGAGGATGGAGGGATGGAGGAAGGAGTGGAGGAGGGGGTAGGATTTGGTGCAATGATAGCTGGTCTGGCTCAGAGTGGGGCTGGATATTAAATCTCCCTGTCAAGTGCTTCCAACACACAAGGACACCTGACAGTACGAGGAGAGCCAGCTCCACACACACAGGCACACACACACACACACTCACACACTCACATATGCACACATGCACGCACGCACGCATACACACACATATACACGAACACACGCATCTACCCACATGCATCTACCCATACACATCTACCCACACACACACACACACACACACACACACACACACACACACACACACACACACACACACACACACACACACACACACACACACACACACACACACACACACACACACACACACACACACACACACACACACACACACACACACACGAACGAGTGGTTAAGAGCGTTGTGCCAGTAACCGAAAGGTCGCTGGTTCTAATCCCCGAGCCGACTAGGTGAAAAATCTGTCGATGTTCCCTTGAGCAAGGCACTTAACCCTAATTGCTTCTGTAAGTCGCTCTGGATAAGAGCGTCTGCTAAATTACTTTTTTTTTAAATTAAAGACAAAAAAACACATCTACACGAACACACACATCTACCAACACGCATCTACCCCCACATACACAAACACACGCATTTACCCACACACACACACTCACATATGCACGCATCTACCTACACACACACACACACATGTACAGACACTCGCAACTACACACACGCATCCACACACACAAACACACAAAAATACCTTTCCAAAAGCTCAATCCCAGAGGAACACATAACTAAAACGTCCAGCTTTGTTGTAACACGTTGGCCACAAATAAAACAATAAAGAAAGTTAACATCCTTCACTTTTGACAAGGATAAGCATATTCCCAGTGCTGTGTGTTGTTACTCTGTAGTTAGCCCCTGCTTTGTTTATTCTTGGCTCCTGGAGTGGAGGCCAGGGGGGCACTTCAACAAGAGCCAGAGCACCTGGGTAATTTCATTAGTGGCTGGCTGGAGTGGAAGACATCCCAGTGTCAGCAGCAGCAGAACGGGCTGGAGCTGGACAGCAGTCCCCTGAGACAGGAACCCTCCATACCCCTCCCTTCTACCCCAGTCTGCTCTGCACAGCCGCAGATTGGAAGTGATGCCACACACACAAACGCGTGCACGCACACGCACACACACACACACACACACACACACACACGAGGGGAAGATGATTAAAGCTCTGACTTATGACACACTCACACTCACTCACTCACTCCTGGACACTGCGTCTCAGGCAGGCACCATGCAATACATCACATTGGCGGGGCTAGGTAGTGAGGTATTACAGTATTACGGGACTAGAATACAGATGGATCCATGGTAGAACTCCAGTCCTCATTATGACGTTCCACCTCATACAGTACTTTAGTGATGAATGAGCAGAGTATGTGTTGCCCTGTGCTGTACCTTCAGGGTAGGCCTCTCGTCGCTGGAGCCCTGGGAGGCCCGCTGCAGTGTGCTGTTTCTGCTTCTTAGGAGGCCTCTTCTGCATGTTGGCCGTGCTCATGTTACTGTCTGTGGACGGGGGGCTGCCAGGACGGTGGCCTGAGGGGGTCATTTGGTACTTTCGTGCTGAAGGGAAAGACACATTTGGTAAGGCACATGAAACCATGAAAAGGTTTTCCCCCTGTCAGAGGGCTTGCAGAATAAGGGATTCATATTTATTCAAAGTTAAGGTGGTCATTATCTTGTTTTCTACTCTTCTTGATAAAGTGACATCACATTAGTGATGAATATATGTGCGTACCTCCGGGGCCTCCCTCCTGGCCTTGCGTGGGGTTGGGATACTTGGCCACCTTGAGGCCTGCGTACTCTGCAGCAGCCGCCACGGCCTGGGCGAAGTCGGCGTCTGTGAAAAAGGATCCGTCTGAGGAGCTGACGGCGCTGGAGCGTCCTGAAGAGGCGTTGTCCTCCTCGGAGGCCGAACCCCAGCCGTTGATCATGGAGCCCGTCACAGAGCTCTCCAGGTCCCCCACGCTGGAGGCTGGCGTCTGCTCCAGGTCCCGTAGCAGCAGCCTCCTGGTGTGCATCTGCTGGGGGTGGTGAGGGTGGGGATGGGTGTGGTGATGGTGCACATTGGCCACCTCCGCGTCTGTCTCGTCCCCTTCCTCCTCCTCCTCTTCCTCCAACATCTCCTCCTCCTCCATGCCGTCTGTGTCCAGGGCCAGGGGGCTGGAGATGTAGCCGTAGGTGTGTGAGGGGGAGAGGGGCTGGGGAGGGGGGCACACTGCATGGTGTCTGAAACAGCAGGAGATTGTTCTTAATGTAGGGTATGAGAAGTAAATTATATAAATCAATTATAAAACATGATTGCATTTTTTAAACAGACTTTTTAAATCACTACTACAGTGGGTATCATAAGTATTCATCCCCTTTGGATTTCTTCACGTTTTATTGTTTTACAAAGTGGGATTAAAAGGGATTTATTGTAATAATTTCGTCAACGATCTACACAAAAGATTACTGACAAATAAAACACTAATACACACTTCCGGTCAAAAGTTTTAGAACCCCTACTCATTCAATGGTTTTTCTTAATTTTTTACTATTTTCTACATTGTAGAATAATAGTGAATAAATCATACTATGAAATAACACATATGGAATCATGTAGTAACCAAAAAAGTGTTAAACAAATCAAAATATATTTTATATTTGAGATTCTTCAAATAGCCACATTTGCCTTGATGACAGCTTTGCACACTCTTGGCATTCTCTCAACCAGCTTCACCTGGAATGCTTTTCCAACAGTCTTGAAGGAGTTCCCACATATGCTGACACTTGTTGGCTGCTTTTAATTCACTCTGCGGTCCGACTCATCCCAAACCATCTCAATTGGGTTGAGGTCGGGGGTTTGTCGAGGCCAGTTCATCTGCTGCAGCATGGCTACCACATCTCATTGTCCTGTTGAAAAACAAATGATAGTCCCACTAAGCCCAAACCAGATGGGATGGTATATCGCTGCAGAATTATGTGGTAGCCATGCTGGTTAAGCGTGCCTTGAATTCTAAATAAATCACAGACAGTGTCACCAACAAGCACCCCCACACCATAACACCTCCTCCTCCATGCTTTACGGTGGGAAATACACATGGGGAGATCATCCATTCACCCTCACCACGTCTCACAAAGACACGGCGGTTGGAACCAAACATTTCCAATTTGGACTCCAGACCAAAGGTCACATTTCCACTGGTCTAATGTCCATTGCTCGTGTTTCTTGGCCCAAGCAAGTCTCTTCTTCTTATTGGTGTCCTTTAGTAGTGGTTTCTTTGCAGCAATTCGACCATGAAGGCCTGATTCACACAGTCTCCTCTGAACAGTTGATGTTGAGATGTGTCTGTTACTTCAACTCTTTGAAGCATTTATTTGGGCTGCAATTTCTGAGGCTGGTAACTCTAATGAACGTATCCTCTGCAGCAGAGGTAACTCTGGGTCTTCCATTCCTGTGGCGGTCCTCATGAGAGCCAGTTTCATCATAGCACTTGATGGTTTTTGTGACTACATTTGAATAAACTTTCAAAGTTCTTGAAATGTTCCGTATTGACTGACCTTCATGTCTTAAAGTAATGATGGACTGTAGTTTCTCTTTGCTTATTTGAGTTGTTCTTGCCATAATATGGATTTATAGGGCTATCAAATAGGGCTATCTTCTGTAACCCCCCTTTTTGCATACAGGATACATGTTTTAGTGCCTTGTTGCATACAGGATGCATGTCTTAGTGCCTTGTTGCGTACAGGATGCATGTTTTAGTGCCTTGTTGCGTACAGGATGCAAGTTTTGGAATATTTGTATTCTGTATATTTGATTATGTATACTTTTCACTCTGTCATTTACGTCTAATTGAACTAATGTATTTTATATTTTAATTTAATTTTAGTTATTATTATTTGTAATTTATTTTAAATTTGTAGAATATTCTTTTGACTTTGACATTATGGAGTATCTTGTGTAGATCAATGACAAAATAAATCACAATTAAATCTATTTCAATCCCACTTCTAATTTGAAATTTGAAAAAATCTAATGTGGGTGAATACTTATTATATTTTATACAGTATAACGCCTCCCAGTACCTGCGCTCGTGTCCAGAGCCCATGCTGTCTGGTGTGTCTTGGAGCATTGGTTGCAGCTCCTCCTGGGGCGAGGGGGTGAGGGTGGCTGTGGACTGGTGGCTGTAGGATACCGCGGCGGGGGATGAGGCAGCCCCTCTGACGGGGGGAGTGGGACCCCTCTCCATCTCCTCCTCCTCCTCCTCCAGTTCATCTGGCTGCAGGTACATGCGGGAGGGGGGCAGGGAGCACTGCATGTCTGGGTCATAGCTGTCAACACAGGGAAACATGCTGGTTAGTTGGATGTCACTCAATGTGACAATAACATTCATATCTTGAACAATGTAGCTAGTACATATTAATGTTGTGCTGCTATCAAGGTAGACATGTAAAGGAAAAGGTTTGACATGTACCTAGCATTGATACACAATAGAACAAAAACCCTTAGGGCAGATTTGACTCTTTCAGTTAATGAAAGGAAAGAGTAGAGTGGCAGGGAGGTGTGTGTGTGTGTGTGTGTGTGTGTGTGTGTGTGTGTGTGTGTGTGTGTGTGTGTGTGTGTGTGTGTGTGTGTGTGTGTGTGTGTGTGTGTGTGTAGACAAGTCCCACCTCTCGTCCATGGACAGGGAGTACTCCATGTTGCGGCAGGGGGGTGGGTTAGCAGGGGGAGGAGGCAGTAGTTCAGCCCAGTTCATTGTGCTCTGTTTGGGTAGTTTGGGGGTGCGCACTCCCTTCTTCTGACCTTGACTCCCTGCTCAAACATGAACAAATAACTCCTTCAGTCAGAAACATGCAGAAACACATCCCCACTCCCACGTCCTCCTCCGTCTCTCAACCATCTACATTATTGATGCTCGTTAAATCAACAGAGAAATGAATAAATCGACAGCAGATAAAAATGTAGGAACAAACAGGGCTAATTTCAGCGCGTGGTTGACACGGAGAGAAAATATATACAATTTACACATGAGAGCATGTCGGCTAATGGCATCCCCTCTCTTTATGGACACCGCATAAACGCACCATGCACATTACCTCTCAATTTGTAATTAATGCCAGCCATGCCATCAAAAACACAGTCATTTTTCAAATGTAATGTTCCCCATTGCCAAGAGAAAATAGAAAACGTGAACATCAGAGGCCAATTAACAGCAGCCAATAAGAATGAGAAGCCAATGAGCTGTGAGCTCCGCGAGAACAGAGGGCTGCTCTTTAATGAGCTGAACTTCATATACAATATCAGAATGGATCCTGGGCGTTATGGAGGCAGTGTTGCATGCCCTCTGGAATATGTGTGTGTCATTAGTTCTTGTCCAGAAACAAACACTGCAGATCTGATGAGAATATCCTCGTCTTTGTAGGAATGAAGGGAACAGTAATTAATGTTTTTTACAACAAACTGTCTGAGCAACAAGGAACAACCAAATAAAAAACCCAGGTTTTTTAATTAGGTTTTTCATTTTCTCTTAGAAGCCCATGGAATTGAATTTTGCTCACGCAAACATCAACTTCAGCATATGTATACACACAGACTGGAAACTGACACAGACTGGAAACACACACAGACTGGAAACACACACAGACTGAAAACAGACTGGAAACTGACACAGACTGGAAACACACACAGACTGGAAACACACAGACTGGAAACAGACTGGAAACTGACAAAGACTGGAAACACACACAGACTGGAAACACACACAGACTGGAAACACACACAGACTGAAAACAGACTGGAAACTGACACAGACTGGAAACACACACAGACTGGAAACAGACTGGAAACTGACACAGACTGGTAACACACAACGACTGGAAACTGACGCAGACTGGAAACAGACACAGACTGGAAACACACACAGACTGGAAACTGATGCCTGGGATGTTTGACATTTTCCCTCCACTGAAGGCATCTGATTATAATTTATCTTCAAGAGACTGACATGGAAATTAATCAACATTACCATTTTAAAGCATCATGCATCTATTGTCACATTAGGATGCATTGCTTTTGAGGAAAATAAGGATTTAGAAATTGAGCTTCTGGGTTAAAAGTGATTAAGTGGTTTATAGAAATAACAATGAACTAGAAACAACAACAACAAAAGCGATTCACTAAAACATCCAGGCAGTAAAACATCAGCCATATTGCTGTGGATTTGAAAACCACTGTTTGCCCCTGTCCCCCCTCGTTCCCCCCTCTCTCACCAGAGGTGCTGCTGCTGCCATGGTCAGAGCTGTTGTAGGAGCCCACGGTGTGGGCCTCGTGGGCCTGATTATAGGGGATGGTGGTAGGCATGGGACTGTCCCCTCCTCTGTAGTGGTCTGGTAGGGGAGAGGAGGAGGATGGTAAGCATGATGAAGGTGGGTCGCAGGGCAGCATACACCACATTACTTGTATTAGAAAAGTATAGATAGCTTATGGAAATGGAGGAAAGGGGAAATGATGACATCAAAAGATGCATAGAGACTGTTTGAGTTTAACTGACTAATGATCACAGTTAGGCTAACATAAGGGCTAACAACGTAGCAAACTCATCTAAATAATGATCTTAACCAGCAATGTGTTAAAATGTGTGTAATACACCTCTAATAAGTTGAAATGTAAGTTCAAACTGTCTCAATAAACAGTCCGGTGGATGCTGTCTTCCTAAGAGTGCTGAGAAAGAAGACATGCAATTGCTGTTCCATACAGGAGACCAATGACGTAACTGAAAACGGTGTCACTAAAGTAGCAGCTCTTTTCTGCAGGTAAGAACAAGGTGACGACAGTTTAGTTCAGTGTCTGTCAGTTCCAACATAAATTGTTATCTCTCCTTCAGATACCTGACACCTGGAGAAAATCCTTACACCTGTAGCTACGAGACTTTACCAATGAAGAACAACCCAGACAGAAAAGACAGAAACTCAGGCCTGACCCAGAATGTAGAGCAGCGATGATATATGAACACAGAGAGGAAAGAGGAGTTAGGTAAATGCATAGTAGACAATGAGAGGGAGACTGATGATGCTCTCTGTTGATATGACTGAATGGGGGCAGCAGGGCAGCGAGTGAAAAAGGAACATTCTTCAGCATGGTGGGCCCATCCACAGGGAGAAAGGGAAAGAAAGAAGGGAAGAAAGAAAGATGGAAGACGGCTATGGTTTGACCTCCTAACCTCCACTGATTCCCACCACACACTCACCCTTGTTCAGCTTGTTCTGCTCCATGATGTTATACTGGTGGAGCTGTGAGGTCATTTCCTGTTGCTTCTGCTGCTGAACAGGGGTGGGTTTCCAGCCGTGTTTCTCGTTTATCTCCCCTCCCCTCCCCCTCCACTACCTCTGTCTCTGTCTGTGTTGATGTTGTTTCCCAGGATAGACGACTGGATGAGCTGTGTGGTGGCGTAGGGGGTGGGCTGTCCCCCCGGCCCAACGAAGCGTCCGTCCTTTAGGTTGGGGCTGTTGAAGGTCTTCATCTCGTTGATCTTGTTGGAGAGGTCCACGTCTACATACACTCCTCCCTCCGGCACCATCAGGTTGGTCTGCTTGCTCTCCATCTGGTTGTTATAGTTGGCGATGCAGTCGGCTGGATAACATGGGGAGCGGGTGCAGGGTGCAGGGTTTTAGTCAAAAACCGGACTAGCTTCTATAACTAGGTTCAGAAGAAGAGGTTTGCCAAGTGCATGAATGGCACGAATGGCAGTTGTATTCAGTTGTATTCACTGGCATCATATAATAAGATGAAAAGATTAACATTACAGAATGACACAGAACTAAATCAGCCTGAGTCATTTATACCTTTCAACAGATCACTGTGCCCTCAGTCTAGACATATATATCTTTCAGTGCAAACTACAGTTCATTCTGTACGTCAACTATCCCTATCTGGTTCAGGTGATTGACTGGAGCTGTATTATACTTCCACTGTCTGCTCTCTCTGTCTTTCTGTCTCAATAATGTCTCGGTCTCATCCACAGCTCAAGGTGGGTGTCCTGTCTATTCTCCCCATCAGACGCCAGGCGAGGAGGCTTTGCTCATTGAGAAGGACAGTGGAACACGTCTGTATCAAAAGGTTGTAATGAAGCGTGCAGCAAAGAGCAGAGCTCCACTGACAGATCCAATTTTCTCTGGCTCATAAAATATTCAAATCCTCCAGCAGATCTGAGACCAAGCCTTGCGGTAAATACCAAGGACGGCTATAGGTAGAACAACCGAGCGCACGTGAGCCTCACATTTCCAAAAACCGAGTGATATCTGAGGCACTTCAGAGGTAGATGTGGAGAAAGGGCCTCTAATGTGTTAGATAAAGGGACATTAACTCGTATCCCTCGGCTCTGTCACCTAGCCGCTGATCCTGTTAAACCGTCACAGGGTTTAGGTTGGCCACACAAAGCAACCAGCACGATGCATACTCCTTAACGTCTTACACATGCGCTGAGGGACAACTGCTTTTGGCATTTTATCCCTTCTCAATTAAACTCACAGATTGTCACCAGAACCAATGTTAGGGGAACGTTAAACACACCACGGAATGAAAAGTCGGATTAGGTTATTGTGTTGACTGTGATGGGTAACTTTAGAAGCTGGGTATGTATTTGATGGTTACAGTGTTTCTTTGTCCTTGAGTAAGATGCTTAACCTAGTGGCAGCACAGCACTTAGTACAACAGTACATCTGCTACAATAGGAGTGTGTGTAAGCCTGTTTGGGGAGATGGTTGAAGCCAACAATGTAAATGAGTCAATGAGTGGGTAGGCAACGCTACACTACTGTACAATCTGTCAGACACTACAGCTGGAGAAAGGCCTGCCGTGTGTCCAAATGACTGTTCAAACGACTGCACTATATACCCACATCTCTTTTCCTTTAGTTCAACTTCTAAGCCTACTGTCTCTCAAAGGGAGGTTCAGGGCTGGGGTCCAAGTTTTGTAGTTATGTCCTACATATGTGTGTATAACCTCAAATCCTTTGTCCCCACCCTGCACCAAGAGCCATACTTCTCTCCTCTCTGCCAGCTGTTGACCCTCTTTCTCTGTAGAGTATGAGTACTTAGCTCTTTTGTGTGTGTGTGTGTGTGTGTGTGTGTGTCCCTCGGACTTCAGAGCCAAACTCCCTCCCTATTGTTTATAGAAAGTACTGCTGACCGAGAGGCCACCTGGAGGTGTACCATAACCCACCCTCAATCCCTCCCTCCCTCTGTTACTGTCCATCTCTTCTGCTCTTTTTACTTTCCTTCCAACTCCCTTGCTCTTTCTCCGTCCAGTTTACTTCCCCTCTACTCACGTGTTACTTCCCCCCTACTTTCTCTCTCCATGTATCTCTGTGTATGCTACTTATTCTCCCCCATCGTTCTTTTTCCTCCTCTGTTCCCTTTCTTTCTATGCACTCTTCCAGGTACCTCTCTCTCTCCATCTCTCCATCTGGTGTTGGCTGCAGTCTGCAGTCCTGCCCTGACCTCTACATTTCTTAAATAACTGAGCACTTAGTGGGAATGACATTACGGGCTATAACAACAGTATGGAAATCAGCAGAGCAATTCGATTTGCAGCAGAGTAAACCCATAAGGCCCGTCCAGCGCGTTCCTTTTATTTCATGCCTAAAACAGCCCCGCTTTAACCTGAAATAAATCAAACACACACGCTACTCCTACCCCTAAGCCTCACATCCCTTAAGGGTTTTCTTATAGAGACCTCGCGAGGAGAGAGGTAAGAGAGAGAAAGTCTCGAGGGAGCTAACCCAGATATGGGATTTCACTTCTCTCTGTTTTCTACCAACTCGTTTTTATGATTCTTATCTATGCTTTGCTTTGAGAGCAGGGGTGTCATGTACCCCAGAAATCTGTGGGGGCACAAAGTAAGTGAGAATGGCTGGGTGGTGGTCCGGAGGGGGGCTAGAATTTAGCATTTTTCAAACACCTGTAACAGCTTTTTCCTGCAACCTTTATGCTTAATTCTATGTAAAAAAGTATTTATGTTTTTCTGCATATCTAAGCATACCTCTTGAGCTGTCTGTATCCTCCTGACTGGTGGTTCTTTAAACAAAAAATTTAAAAAAGAAGCATCTCTGCATCTCTGCTAAAATCTTGAAAGGAATGTGTCTTATTCAGTACATTTAGTAATTGCGTGCTTTTCTGAAGTCTACCAACCTGATTCATCTTGGTAGCAGGTTATGAGATTGGGAACCTATCTGGGCTAGCTAAAGCCAACTTCATAAAATTGCTAAGTGGCTAGTAGTATTACAGAGAAAAATCTAAAACAAACAACAACAAAAAATATATATATATATATTTTTTTTAACAGGACAAATCTGAGGGGGCATGTGCCCCTGTGCCCCCTATGGGCATGACGCCTCTGTTGAGAGTTATTTTGATAACTGTTTTAGTACAGTTTATGTTTGGGTGTGTTGTTCCAGTGCGTAGCGTACTCACCTGGGCGGCTGTATGTAGCCAGGTTGCTGTCACTGTTGCCCTGTCCTGCGGTGCAGCAGTTCATGCTACAGTCGTTGTGATTGGAGCAGGAGTTGGGCCAGGTATCAGCCAACCAGGGCTGGGTAGCAGACTCCCCAATGTTCAGCAAACCTGGCCTGGAAGGATGGGGCACAAAACAGTCAACACTGACTAACAACGGAATATGCTGCACCACTATAACACAGCAATAATTAATATTGATATGAATAACAAGAAAATGTCATGTAATGAATGGGGTTTTAGGCAGATCGATGGGGATTCACTCAATACTAGATTGGTATACTGAAATTGTCACACTTCCCTATAGCTAGGCACTAGGTTGTTGTTTTACAGGAAATGATCTCTCCCTCTCCTTCGCGCTCCCTGCTCCATTGGCCTTGCATTAGAGGAAAGCTCAGCTAAATAGATGATGTGCTCTTGACTTGTCCATGGCCGATGACACTGTTTCGCTGAGCCCTCGTGAGCATTAGCGATCCGCTCGGATTAGAAAGCAAGATAGAATTCACTCCCAGTGTTGGAAAATGCACATCCGCAACACTCACTGAACCACGAACGCTCCCTCAGTAGATTCCAAGGTGTCACAGAACATCTCTATCATCCTTTAATGTTTAGTATCAATACAGAACTACAGTAAAGTACTGAAAGTACTGAACAGAACTGAGATCTGCTGTCTGAACAGACTACCAGCTCTCTGCTGTCTGAACAGACTACCAGCTCTCTGCTGTTGAAGCTGATCAGACTACCACTCGCTGCTGTCTGATCAGACTACCACTCTGCTGTCTGATCAGACTACCAGCTCTCTGCTGTCTGATCAGACTACCTCTCTGCTAGTCTATCCCCCTCAACCTTCTCTCGCTGTCTGATCAGACTACCAGCTCTCTGCTTCTGATCACCTCCACTTCGCTTCTGAGCACTACTCTCTGCTTCTGAAGACTACAGTCTGACTTCTGACAGACTACAGCTCTATCAGACCACTCTCTGTTGTCTGACACAGCTCTCTGCTGTCTGAAAACACTACCAGCTCTCTGCTGTCTGATCAGACTACCTCTCTCTGCTGTCTGATCAGACGACCAGCTCTCTGCTGTCTGATCACACTACCTGTCTCTCTGCTGTCTGATCAGACTACCAGCTCTCTGCTGTCTGATCACACTACCTGCTCTCTGCTGTCTGATCAGACTACCAGCTCTCTGCTGTCTGATCAGACTACCAGCTCTCTGCTGTCTGATCAGACTACCAGCTCTCTGCTGTCTGAACACACTACCTGCTCTCTGCTGTCTGATCAGACTACCAGCTCTCTGCTGTCTGATCAGACTACCAGCTCTCTGCTGTCTGAACACACTATCAGCTCTCTGCTGTCTGATCAGACTACCAGCTCTCTGCTGTCTGATCACACTACCAGGTGTCTGCTGTCTGATCACACAACCAGCTCTCTGCTGTCTGATCACACTACCAGCTCTCTGAACACACTACCAGCTCTCTGCTGTCTGATCAGACTACCAGCTCTCTGCTGTCTGATCAGACTACCAGCTCTCTGCTGTCTGAACAGACTACCAGCTCTCTGCTGTCTGATCACACTACCAGCTCTCTGCTGTCTGATCAGACTAACAGCTCTCTGCTGTCTGAACAGACTACCAGCTCTCTGCTGTCTGATCAGACTACCAGCTCTCTGCTGTCTGATCAGACTACCAGCTCTCTGCTGTCTGATCAGACTACCTGTCTCTCTGCTGTCTGAACAGACTACCAGCTCTCTGCTGTCTGAACAGACTACCAGCTCTCTGCTGTCTGAACAGAATAGCAGCTCTCTGCTGTCTGAACAGAATAGCAGCTCTCTGCTCATCCACACTTCCACATCATGAACCCAGGGCTGACATTTTACAGACTAAATAGCTTTATAATTCGGATAAAATGTGTCAATCTACTAGGGTCCAAAGGCTATACTACCACTACACAATAAACACCATGTTTTTACTGCTATTTCTCTCCTACCGCTATGACTGGAACAATCCAACCTGTCAGATATCAAATCAAATCAAATGTAATTTGTCACATACACATGTTTCGTTTAGCAGATGTTATTGCGGGTGTAGCGAAAGGCTTGTGTTTCTAGCTCCAACAGTGCAGTATATCTAACAATTCACAACAATAAACACAATGCACACAACCTAAAAGTAAAATAATGGAATTAAGGAATATACAAATATTAGAAATATTAGGATGAGCAATGTCAGAGTGGCATAGACTAAAATACAGTAGAATAGAATACAGTATATACATATGAGATGAGTAAAGCAAAAATATGTAGACATTATAAGAGTAACTAGTGTTCCATTATTAAAGTGGCCAGTGATTCCAAGTCTATGTATACAGGGCAGCAGCCTCTAAGGTGCAGGTTTATGTAACCGGGTGGAAGCCGCCTAGTGATGGCTATTTAACAGTCTGATGGCCTTGAGGTAGAAGCTGTTTTTCAGTCTCTCGGTCCCAGCTTTGATGCACCTGTACTGACCTCGCCTTCTGGATGAACGCGGGGTGAACAGGCAGTGGCTTGGGTGGTTGTTGTCCTTGATGATATTTTTGGCCTTCCTGTGACATCGGGTGCTGTAGGTGTCCTGGAGGGCAGGTAGTTTGCCCCCGGTGATGCGTTGGGCAGACCGCACCACCCTCTGGAGAGCCCTGCGGTTGCGGGCGGTGCAGTTGCCGTACCAGGCGTTGATACAGCCCGACAGGATGCTCTCAATTGTGCATCAGTAAAAGTTTGTGAGGGTTTTAGGTGCCAAGACAAATTTCTTCAGCCTCCTCAGGTTGAAGAGGCGCTGTTGCGCCTTCTTCACCACACTGTCTGTGTGGGTGGACCATTTCAGATCGTCAGTGATGTGTACGCCGAGGAACTTGAAGCTTTCCACCTGCTCCACAGCAGTCCCGTCGATGTGGATAGGGGTGTGCTCCCTCTGCTGTTTCCTGAAGTCCACGATCAGCTCCTTTGTTTTGTCGACATTGAGGGAGAGGTTATTTTCTGGCACCACACTCCCAGGGCCTTCACCTCTTCTCTGTAGGATGTCTCGTCATTGTTGGTAATCAGGCCTACTACTGTTGTGTCGTCTGTATATTCAATATTCACATTGTATTGAGTTGTCTTTTCGTGTCCTATTCAAATGACTTATTCAGCGCTTCCAGTCATTCATTTTGAGTAATGAACACACTAATGCAATCTCAAAATGGCTCAAAATGGCTCCTCAATCATCTGAGTGGTTCAGTGGAGATAGATAGAGAATGGCGATTGTCTTTGAGCAGAGCTACCATGTCCAGGCTGTAGAACTGACTCAATCACATAGCAGGGTAATAACATGACCGTATAGATAGACACATAACGGTATGGAACAATAGCCAACCATAGAGATACACTGCATTACGTCAACCAAGTCTGTAGATACATTAGCATCAATGTGGGTTCTAGATGATTGAGGAGACTATAACATCAGTGTCTAAATGTATGAGTGTCTCAGTATGGGTAACTAGGAGGTAGTCTGGAAAACAACACATAGGCTACTGGTCTCTGTCACACCCTCTCCTGTATCACTCCTCCCATCTTGTTCCATAGGGCCCTCCATTCTAAAGAGTAGGGTGTGTGCAAACACAACTATCACCATCTCTGTGTGTGTTAGAGTGATGCTATGGCACAGCCTTGTGGCCAGACATGGTGCTCTTCTCTGTGGGGTGAGGAGGATGGGGGTTCGGGCAGATGAGATGATCCTTTGTTCCTCTCTCCTCTCCTCCCTTCCCCTCTCCTCCCTTCCCCTCTCCTCTCCTCTCCTCTCCTCCCTTCCCTTCCCCTCTCCTCTCCTCTCCTCTCCTCCCTTCCCTTCTCCTCCCTTCCCCTCTCATCTCCTCCCTTCCCCTCCCTCCCCTCTCCTCTCCTCACTTCCCTTCTCCCTCCCCTCCCCTCCTCCTCCCTTCTCCTCCCTTCCCCTCTCCTCTCCTCTCCTCCCTTCCCCTCTCCTCTCCTCCCCTCTCCCCCTTCCCTTCTCCTCCTCCCTTCCCTCTCCTCCCTTCCCTCTCCCCTCCCTCCCCTCTCCTCCCTCCTCCTCTTCCCTCTCTCTCCTCCCTTCCCCTCTCCTCTCCCCCTTCCTTCGTCCTCTCCTCCCCCTTCACTTCTCCTCCCTTCCCCTCTCCTCTCCTCCCTTCCCTTCTCCTCCCTTCCCCTCTCCTCCCTTCCCCTCCCTCACTTTCCCTCCCCTCCCCTCTCCTCCCTTTCCCTCCCCTCCTCTCTTCTCCTCCTCTGCCTGGGCTGTAAGCTTTAGGAAGTAAAAGCCCTCCCCCTAGTGTCCTTCAGAGGAAGGTACACCTTCCCTCCCATGCACATTCTACCACCCATGTACCCGCTCCTCCCCAAATGAAATGTCCATCTGTCTCTTGGAATATGGTATTATGATCCATATTTTATGTTACATTATTTAATGCTTCATATTCATACAGAGGAGACAAACATAGATGTACACAACACTCCCTCTCATAGTAGACATGCATTCTTACCTTCCAGAACTGCTGACAGCCTCTCCACCTCTCTGGTACGCCACTGGAGAACAGAGAGGCAGAGAAGGTACAGATATGAATGCCATAATCACAATCGTCATCAGAGTAACAGGCTTATCAAAACACAATAACATGGAGTGTGTTTATTTTTGACAGTGTGTGTGTTTACGCATGTATGTGTGTGTGTACTACACCCTGTGTGTAGATCGGTGGAGACTGAGTCACTGTGACAGGGTATGTGTGTAAGAGGATTAGGGGGCTGCACAGTGCTTTGGTCTCCTGGCATGGCTGGCGTGTGTTTAAAGCTCAGCGCGCTGGAAGTCTCTTTCAAGGAGCTTTAAGCTGCCGGTGTGAAGGAGAGATAAACTCCAACTTTAATTACAAACTCTTCTCTGAGGAAGGGGTGGGAGGGTTTAGAGCTGGTCTCTCTCTCTCTCTCTCTCTCTCTCTCTCTCTCTCTCTCTCCCTCTCTCTCTCCCTCTCTCCCTCTCCCCCTCCCTATCTCTCGAAAGGAAGTAGAGAAAGCTCAAGTCCAACTTTGGCATCTGTAGATAGAGAATTCAGAGCATTCAGGAATTCCACAACACA